AATTCATCTAGATGAAGTGTTAAGGAAAGCCAGTATGTACGAGAGCTGGTATCAGCAGCAGCTAAGTCACATGGTTTGTAGTACCGAACAATATATATATTAAAAAATGTATAATTGACCGGACACATTAGATCAAGATGCAGTTGTAAAACCAACAAATCACTGTCCCTATCTCTATCCTCTGTGTGCCATGCAAAGATCTGTGATTTACACAAGGTGTTCACTCACAGGAAGCGCGCGCACGCACGCACGCACGCACTACATTGAGTTACATTAATTTCCTGGAGACTTACTTTAATCTTAACTACTACTTGCCAAACCCTAACTCTTCACCTTAACATTTAATGATTCACATTATTGGGACTTGCTTTTTGTCCCCATAAGGAAGACAAGTCCCCATAATGTGATGTAAACAGATTTAGGTTCCCACAACATTAATAACACGCTCACACTCTCACACAGACACACACACTGCTGGTTTCTATTGGAGCACTCCAGGTAGCACATCCAGGCTTCTGAAACCAGGAAGTAATGTTTACATGTGCAACTCATAACTGAAATACTATGAAAACTCAATCTTAACCAGAATGCCAGTGCACATATAAATAGGATATTTGTGAAAAAATTACTAAACAGGAAAATTCAAACTACAACTTAAATGTAAATTTCAAGATTCTTTAACTTCCCCAAATAATTTTTTTGACCTCCCCAAGCTATGACACTCCTAGAAATACTGAGCATTGTTTTCCACAACTAAGATGAAATCAAGTGAACTGACTCAGAGTTTATTTTGTCATTGTCAATAACTTTATTACATGAACTCTTTGTACAACATATAGTAAATCTTACAGCCACCTTCCGCCTCAAAGTTCGGGTGGTCCAGCTATCTTCCATCCCTCCATCTTGCCGACTTTTGTGAAGAAAGCCAGGGTTCCCAGACCCAGACACGCCGATGTACCCGTCATAGCACTATGGGCTGAGGATGTAGACACACATAGAGAAGACAATATGGCTTAATTTACGTAAATTGTTAGCATAATTTTTACACATCACATGCATCTGTGGAATCACACACCTTTTAACTCCTGATTAGTAAAATAGTATCCTCCACCACCCAGAAAAAATCTCTTGCTCAGAAGTTGATTTAGCCGCCTAATGTCAATAAGAAGCACTTCACATTCAGTAAAGATCCGTCTCTGTCGAAATACCGATTTATGGTTTGAATCGATTTACAGTCCACAGAGAATTGGACAAGAAGCAGCAACAACACAGCTGGGACAAACTACAAAAAGATGCAGGCTAGTTTGCAAAAGAGAGTGCAAGGAAGAGACGCAGGGATGAATGAGCTGTATTCACCAATTGAGACATCTTTGTTCACTCAAGTGTCATTCTGAGGAGGCGTCAGTTACTCAAGATGCACAGCTATTTAACTGTCCTATAATGTCTAGGAATAGTTAAGCAACAGAAGCAAGAAAAACCTCTGACATCTGACGACTGCTGTTTCAACACTGATCAAAGATCTAGTTCAGTGTCAAGCTGTCACATCAGACAATTTATTAAAATATGTTTATTAGTTGAATGAATGGACATGAGGGAGCAATGAAACCAACTATAAATGTTCTAAATAAAAGCAATAGCCTCGTTACATAGCGAAAGGCTGCAGGTAGAGTAAGTCTGATGTCCTTTCCAGACAATATTACAGAGCCAAAAATGGCAGTATATTTTTAGTGAATGAGCCTAGAGTCACCTGAATGGAAAATTAAAGAAAAAAAAGAAAAGCCCGGAAGAGTGAGGTTGGGTGGATGCAGAATCGGCTGAATAAAAAGCACCCAGTATTTCTACTGTGAAGTCTGATACTTACTTCTGGCTCCCAGGAAGATGCCAGAGGCACAGCCTCCAATGAAGTAATTCAGTGGGTCATCTGGAGCTTCACGAGCCTGAGCACTGAGACACGTTGCCATGCCAAAGATGGCTCCCATGGTGGCTGGTACAACACAAACAGACATCCATATCAGCATTACACAATTTGATGCAATCATTCAGAGCAATTTGTGGATTTCATAAGTCACTACATCAGCTCATTTAAACCAAACAGTCTGAGTCACATGACTGAGATTTGGCCAGTGACATAGTCAACATTGCTCTGGCTCTGTACTCCAGTGCTTTGGATGTAAAATGAACAAAACAATAGAGCCAAGCAACGAAGGAGTTTTAGGGTTAAAGTGGAATATTCTTGACTGGGCAAGTTGCTCACCTCACCTCAATCCATAACATTTCTGCAATAACTGAAGTGGCTGCAGAACAGACCTGACAAGAGCCCAAGCGAGGTTTATACAAAGCATCTCAGGAGGGTTTGCAACCAAATATCATTATATTATGCATTTCTTTTTCTTTCTTTATTTTAAATTCCTACACTTCGAATATGGCTCAAATGAAAAGTTAATGATGGCATTTATCCTTAGTGCACCTGGACAGTAAACTGAACTGGTCTCTGAACACGGATGCCATCTACTGGAAAGGGCAGAGCCGGCTCTTTTTCCTCAGGAGGTTCAGGTCCTTTGACATCTGCAGTGAAATGCTGCACATGTTTTGGGGCAGCAGCATGTCCGACATGAACAGAAGGAGACTGGACAAGATGGTCAAAAATGCTGGGTCTGTGGTCTGGGTCGAGTCTGGACTCACTCAGGACTGTCATAGAGAGATGCATGCAATATAAGATGGAGGCTATCTTGGACAATACCAACCATTTTTTCCACAACACTCTGGCAGGAAAGAGAAGCAGCTGCAGCTGCAGCAAATGTCTCATCTCACTGCAGAACAGAGAGGTTCAGGAGATCCTTTGTTCCCACTGCCATCAGGCTATACAACACCTCAGTCAAAGGAAGTGGGCAAATTTAATTATCATTGTTTATTTATTATTAACTGTTTTTATTATTATCAACAATGAGCACATAATTGACAATTGACACATGACTTTCCCCTAGAGGATAAATAAAGTATCTATCCATCTATATATCTATCTATTGTTTGTTTCATTTTGAACTCAATGTGCTGGACACAAGAACAGAAACAACAAAATAAGAAATCAGTGTTTCCCACAAAATTTAGTTCTATTTCTGGCAGTAGCTGAGCAGAGGTGGGGTGGAGGTTTCTGTGGAAAACACTGCTGGACCACGCAACTGTTAAGTTGTGGATTGTGATAATATGAAGATTTACCCATGGTAACAGTTGTGTTGGTGGCCCTCTGTAGTGCTACCAACGCAGAATCAGGCTGGAATGCCACGATGTGATAGGCTGAACCAACAAGGCCTGAAAACACACACAAAGACACATATTAACAAACTTGAAGCCAACAATAAGTCACACAAAGCTGACTATGGAATCTTTTGTTTTAGATATGGTCACACTGAATAGTGTCCTGTAGTAGTGAGTAACAAAGCTATTGAAACTCAAAGTTGTTGTTCTGAATTCTTAGTCCTTATCTGATCTTAAGGTCTAAGGACTGAGTGGCACATGCCACAGACTGTAAAGCACCTTATGGCAAATCTGTGATATTTGACTTAAATATAAAATTTGACTTGACTGTGCCAAACGGGGCTTAAACCTTCAGGTTCATTTGTATGTTAATGACTGCTTACTCACTGTACATTGATATTATTGACAAACAATAACATAATAGGTATTTCACATGTGTAAACTACAAATATTATTAGACGATTAAAATCATTATTAGGGAATTACAGAATAAAGAAGCTACACTTCACCTGGTGACTGTGCTCTCTCCGGAGATATGCAGAGTTTGGTACTCCATTTAAAACAGTATTCAAATATCAAACTTGTATTAGCTTTGGTGGCAACTGTCCATAAATTAATTCAGTCAAATATTTAAACTTGAGATGTCAAACTGTCTAACACAATCTTTAGTTTACCTACACAACACCAGCGCTAGTATGTGTTGTTGTCTCCTTCTTAGCGGCAACAAACGTACTACTGGTTGAGGAAAGCATACATTGGCTTGTGGCTTTAAGAAAACACTGACTGCAAAAACGCACAAGTCAAATTCGAGCTAATAAAAGAAAATTCATTTAGCTTAGTGTCTGCATTACAATGTGAAAGCAGCTTGTTTCAAACCAATCCTGGGCTAACATGCTAGCTCAAACGCGTTAGCATTAGCTAAAACAATAACGCTAATCCAACACGCAACACCGCAACAATATGCATCTATAGCCAGCTAGACTCGGGATGGTTTTATTAATGCTGATATTTACCCAAAGCTGTGCCCAGTTTGGTAGTTATCCATGTTTTCCCGATGCAGTCCGTGCCCTCTGGTAGGTCCCAGTACCCCATTTTCAGACTTAGCAAGGACACTGTGGACACACTCGAAGCGGTGGAATTCTCGCGAGAAACGTACTCCTCGTATGTTTCTGTTGTCTGACAACCCAATCTATGACACATTACCGCCACCTACTGGAATGGAGTGTGAAGCAGTAGAAATGCACTGGAAAGTGTGATCAACCGGTTTCTTAACTAAGTAGATGATTAATATTTGACTCTGTAACAATGAAACGTTGTAATATTACATTACTTGCTTTGCTTCCTTCAGTCAATTAGTTTCCTCTACTCATTAAGTGTAGTGAAAACACTTTAAGTGATTCTGGTTTATGTGTTGATGTGTGAAACTGAGCGCTGTATGTTCTAACCTTACATGAATAATATTCCCCATTTCTGCCACCAATATTCTGCCTGTGTCTTGTGAGTACGTTTCCTGTTTCACTATCACCACAGTAGTACTGTGTGTTCACAGCAGTTTCTCAAATTCCAGGAGGGAACAGAAAATCTCTATAAAAATCAATGACTATAAATCTGTTAAGTCACTGCTAACAGGGAGAGTTAACCAGAAGAGTATGCTTTTGAGTGAAGGGTTGTAAGAGTAGAGAGATGACAAGCTGTTGCTTTCTACAATAGTTTTGTGTATTTTATGAAAATTCATCACATGGATACACAGCTTTAAAACTATTTATTAACTTTACATTAAGGTTTCCAGCTTTTTAGGGTTATTTACACTTCTTAGAGTAACCCCAGAATCAAGGTAAAACTCAGCCACAGAGTTCCCTCCTGCAACACACGGTGTTCAGACAGTCACCCTGCCATACAAGTGTCATTAGTCTGGGTTTCGGTGTCCTGTTTGAAGTTTTTGGAGAAATCCCTTTTTTGGAATGAAAACAACCCAATTTCAACATACTTTATATGGACAAATGGAAGCTTTACATGAGAGCCTGTTTTTTAGGGATTCACATATAAAGAAGTTATTTCTTCTGCCAGAATTGGCTGTATTTGTCAACTTCAAAGTCATCTTCGTAGTGGACTGCCGTCTCTGTTTGCTTCTTCCTGACCTCTCTCTTTTTCTGCCGAGCTCGACGCTCCTCTTCAGACAGACTGGATAGAATGACTGGCATCTTTCAAAACACACAAAGAGACAACAATAAAGTGATGATGGTATGTCACTCTAGTTCTAGTGGCATATGTCAATTCTGAGTGATATTTCACAGATGTATTTTGGCACTTCTAAACAGTGTCACTCATGTTTCACTGTCATATACCACTCCTCACAGGTATATACCGATTCTTACATTCTGACATATGCCCCTGCTTATTATGATTTGCTGACACTATGCAAATTATAAATGGCTTCTTGCTCTTTTTCACTGCTAGATACCTCTGTCCACTGATATGCAGGTCAGGAGGTCACTTTTTTAATCTCAGCACTGCTGTAAATTTATTGGAGCGCAATGCTAAAAATAAAATGCTGGAGTCCCCTGTAAAGACAAACATTGTCTACAACTCTCATTTTCTGCACTTGTTTAAATGAAGACAACTGGCATTTTTATCTCATGTCATCATTGTGTCTATTCTGATGCTGCTCCAGTTCCTGAACAAATTTCTATTAACAAAACTAATAATAAAACCCTTATTGAAAACTGAATTTATTCCAGTGAGACCTTTGATATGCATATATCACAAATCAGTGGTTGAGAAACTCTGTATGGAAACAGCAAAGAGTGAAGGAGATGATGTACTAACCGTGAGGATGCGTCTGGGTTCTGTGTATCTGATGTTGATTGTAGATCCATCGGGCCGGACCAGCATCACAGGGTACAGTCTCTCATATTTATACCGATCACAGCGCACGATGGACGTCCTGTTGGAGTTGAGCTGAGCGACGTGAGTGTGGAACAGAGAAGCCATCTGTGCTCGGAGCGGTAACACTGACTGGCATCCTGTCCGCGTGAACACAGGGCAAACACACCTGCACGTACATACACAAGACCACCATTTCCACACACATAAAAATAAACCTTGTAAATATCGGATATACCAGTGACAGACAAGGTTAAGGGACATTTATCTCTGTTTCTGTCATGTAAGTATAGAACTTAAGCAATTCAATATTATACAATGAACAATTCAACATTAGAGTTGGGAGAAATGTTTACGTGACCGTTCCTCTTGGTTGATTTACACAATGTTTGAGAGCGAACTAACATGAGCTCCAATTGTCGGTGCTTTGTTTATCAAACATGCATTTCCGGGCATTATTCAGCGAGTCTTACCTCGATAACAGACTCCGAGGAGCACAGAGCTTCATTAGAAACATGTTGGCCGTGAAGAAAATACTCATCCAATATTAGTCTGGTGGTGGTGCAGTCATATGCCCTGAAAGGAAGCACTTCCCTACAGAAGGTCAAACATTGGAGTTCATAGAGTAAGTGTCCGTCTGAAACAAGGTAGAGCGCAGGGTCCGCGCGTGTAAAGTATCATTCTCCTGCAGTTGTTCACGTTGTATAATGAAAACTGTCAACTTAAAGGGTATTGCCTAATTTCATTGTCTTAGTTGTGCTAAGTGGAAATGTGTGTTGACGTTTGTGAGCTCATTCTTCATTAGCCGATGCTGCCTAAATGCTAAATGCGATTTGCGTGTGTTATGGGTCGATTAAATGAAGCCGGAAACAGAGACGACTCGTCTTCAAAATAAAGGTTGCTAGGTTTGGACAAACGTGCTGGCAGTCAATTTAAGGAGACCTAAGCTGCGGTGGTGGTGGCCAGAGGTGAACGGGTCGGTTCGATATATGGTTGGCACAGAAAAGGTTTAGGGGTTGTTGCACAGCTTAACCCAACCAAAATGACTGCAATGCAATCCATCTGTGGTCTTCAGTGATTGAGATGCTGACTTTTTTATACATTATCTCTCAGTTCACTCACAAAAATGACCTAAATCAACTCAACACTTATATGACCCAGTGTCAATTATAATTAAAACAGGATGTTTTGTTATTAACTGTTGTAAGGTTTTGTATAAAATATTTAATGTTCCATGTTTGTGGTCGAGCCGATGAACCGGAAATACTTATCACACAACTGACCTCTTCACCAATGCTGACATAGCTCTGTGGCACTGAGCGTAGGATCAGTGTAATGTGCTCAGGGGACCATTTCTGATAAACGAAAAAATATAGTGTAGTTATTCTCTCTGCCCTCGGATAAGCAGGACATCACCAACATGAGTACAATGTTTGCAGACACAATTCTGATCGTGTTTATCTCTGTTTGTACAGCACTGTTAGCCGAAGGTGAGTGAAATCTTCCTGGCAGATCGTCAAGCGTTTTACTATCGTCCAAGAAACGCATTGAAAAAGTAAATTTGAACACCATTCTGGGTTACATAGCGAGGAATAACTATCAGCTTTGTTAATATTGCTTAATTGCTTATTATGGTGCTTTTGAGGACGGTAGTTTCCTAGTTAGCCAGTGGATTTCGACAAATAAGATAATGCTATACGTTAGCATCAAGAGAGAAGAGAACTTCCGCTAACATTTTCACAATACAATCCTTTAAGAAACGCTTTTCTCGTCCTCTCCATGTCAGACACTCATTAAGGGGAATAGAAATCAAAATTTAAGTTAACATGACTATGATACTGTGGATTTCTACATCTCTTTTATTTAATTATAGTTTCCAAAACAGGGTTCGTTATCTTTGTTTCCTCGTAATCGTCATGTTAAAATTGTAATATAGCTTTGTTAGTGGCATTCAAGTGCTGTGGGAAATTGCAAGTCTTTAAATCCAGCCACCAAATAGCAAACACTAAAGTACAGGATGCAGGATAATTACTAATTGTCTTGTACATTTAAATTTCCAAGAGCATTGATTGTGAATTTATATTTGATTTACATTGGTCTCAGACAAGTACTTGGAAGTTGATCTCCTCTCCTGAAGTCAGACAGGTAGAGACTGTTTCTACACACAACTCTAGCGTGTTAGTGTTGGACTTGGAGTTTGTGATATGGATAAAATTCTGACATTGTATGTAATTGTATATTGTGATATCAGTACATGTAATGATATAGTATATTTTTTGGGAAATCTGAAAAACTGTATATTGATGAAATAATGATAAATATCTGCTATAAGGTGATCCAGTAATATCTGAAAAATCTAGGGACAGGAAGAAGTTCTCATAGTTTAGGTCACTCAACACTATGTTTCCTCATAGTGTCAATGGTCCATTAATAGTTGTTTTTATACAAACAAATCTCTTCTGATTTTCTCTGCAGGAATTACTTGGGTTTTAGTGTATCGCACTGAAAAGTACAAGAGGCTAAAGGCTGAAGTGGAAAAGCAAAGCAAAAAACGTAAGTGACACATATGTGAGTCTCATATTATTGTAATTTTTGCTTTGATTGTGTTTATTGTATTCACTGTTGCCTGTTTGATATTAGTTGAGAAGAAAAAGGAAACCATCACAGAGTCTGCAGGACGTCAACAGAAGAAGAAGATCGGTAAGAACCCAGTCAACAAATTGTATAAGTTGTGTTTAAGAAAACACTGATAAATGGAAGAGGAAGACCTCAACCTACTGCTTTTATGAACAGTCCTTTTTGGCAAAATGACGGTCGCTTGATAAGTGATCTCTGCTTCTGAATGTATTACAGAAAGACAAGAAGAGAAACTGAAAAATAACAACAGAGACCTTTCTATGGTGAGACAACTTGTTTACAATGATTATATAATAGTTAAATCATCAAATTTTTTATTATCATACAAGAAGGGATCATGTCTGGGATTGTGTGTTATCATATCATGTCTGCCACCTGTAGTGCAGAATAAATATTGTATAAGAGCATTAACAGCCTTACCTACACTTGTACATGATCGATATTAAAAAGTACTGTGATATTTGAATGTGTCATTTTTGCCAAATTCCAGTCAAATGTCATCTTGTTTTTAAATTTTACATGTGTTTGTAGGTGCGCATGAAGTCCATGTTTGCCATTGGCTTCTGCTTTACAGCTTTGATGGGCATGTTCAACTCCATGTAAGTCTTCACATCAGGTCAATATAATATTTTCATGTTTTTATTTCAAAATCAAACAGAATGAATGAAAAGAGAAAAGTCGATGACTGTTAGTCTGTGTCGGTCACTGAAAGCTCAGATATTTGTGTTTGCATTTGAGAAAAGTAAATGTTAGATTAGAGCAAATATTGTTTCCTGTAACTGCTTTAAACATACTGTTAATATCTCACCACTATCTATTTTTTTTTTTTCTTCAGCTTTGATGGAAGAGTAGTGGCCAAGTTGCCATTCGTGCCGCTGTCTTACATCCAGGGACTGTCCCATCGCAACCTACTGGGCGAGGATTACACTGACTGCTCCTTTATCTTCCTTTACATCCTCTGCACCATGTCCATCAGACAGGTAACTTCTACGCTTAAAACCTCAGACCCAGTGTGGGGTCAGTACCTTTTACCATATGTCACTGGACAATTGTGGATTTAATGGGTTGTATTGTATTGGAGGGGGGCAGAATTCTTTGAGTGGAGGCACAGCAGTGAATCCTCAAAGGGCCATTAGTGTGTCTGTAGATTTTTAGCCACGTTGACATTTTGAAAACCAAGAAAGGAACTAAGGAACTATTTAAATAAGTGTGTTTTCATCTGCTGTTCCTCAACGGCTGCTCATACCTTATAAACCTTTTCACATGAACTTTGGACAGACAATTAAGTATCTGTAGTTTGCTCCTTTCTGAGAGAGTCTTTTGTGTCTTTTGTCCAGAACATCCAGAAGATGCTTGGTCTCGCGCCTTCCAGAGCTGCAACCAAACAGGCTGGAGGCTTCCTGGGGCCTCCTCCCCAGGCAGCTAAGTTTTCCTAATCATCAGACAGGTTCAGTGCACTGCGACTGTGTGGAGTCACGGTTCCCTCATCTGAGCACAGACAGAACTGTGTGTGCTGGAGCAAACGTATTATCTGTTGCAGCTACTGTATCACTACCTTCTGTTTGAGATCTCATTCATTTGTTGTTTATTTAATATTCACATTGTCTCACTTAGAAATTAGAGGGAGAAAAGTTGTTCTTAATTACATTGATTACCAAAGGATGTCTACATTGTATTCAGCACATGCTGAGCATCGATTTGGGATTTTAATTAATTGGCACAATAACATCTGATCCATTTAGTATTATTGTATGTAATTGTTAATAAAGTTTTATGATTACATTTTAGTTGTGTTTTTCATGTTTTATTGGGTTGATGTATTTATTTCAGATATTTTCCTTTTTGTTTTCTCCCACTTTGGAAAGCTCAATTCTTTCTCTCTGACACCTGAGGTCTTTTTTTTACTTACTCAAGAACTTGTTACTTTACTTAGTTAACTTTTTAACCTAGCAGCACTCTAGTTTTGAAAATACAGGCCTTTTCATAGCACACATTGAGTTGTCATAGTAATAAAAAAAATAAAAAAAAGCACAGGTGTTAATAACATTTATGATGGCTCTGTTCCATTCAAGTGTACCACTAAACCAGCTAAATGGAATTCAATCATCACTCATTATGTGATAATAATAATGTGCCTGCAATGCAATAGCATTGAAGGCATATATTATTATTATGCATACTTATTCGTCTTATTATAATTGGTGTGTATTGCACGGCATGCTCAGAGCTAGAATGGATGACATCATCACTTAAGTGCCAGAAGCTGTAGAACTCACGGCCACATATGTCAATCTTAGGTAGGTAATAAAAGTTCGATCTTAGAAGCTATATGGGGATATAGTGGTTTAGCTTTATCGCAGGTCATGTATACATGTCTTGCTGTGGTTGTGGGGACACATTTGTGTTTGAAACCATCAGTGTGAGGTTGTTTTGGCCAGTTGTGACAGCTTCAAAAGGCTTTTTGAGGGACACTGGCAGTGACTGAGGTCAATGTCAGGATGAGTCTCTACGACATGAATGAAACTGACAACGTCCTTTGTGCAGATTGAATGTGAGGAGTGAAGTACACGCACCAATCAACAGTCAACCCTAACCCAAGGTTGCAGTAAATTATAATTGAAATTACCCACCCTTTGTGGACATTGTACAGTTACAATACAACCATTCATACCATCCTCCAGCAGGAAGCAGTGCCTGACCCATATTTAACAATTTTATTGGAACAGTTTTGCCAGTTTGTTGGAAACAAGCACAACTACCCCAACAGATGATTTCATTACTATTAAATCTTTCTTTCTGTTTTGACATCAGTTCATGGCAAAATGAATTTGCGGTTGTTGCACTAAATGTGGACAGAAAAGCTGATGAAGCGATTGTATCTCTAGAGTCCATGCATGAGGTATAATTCTTCTGCAGTTGTTCACGTTGTATGATGAAAAATGCCAGTTTAGGGGGTATTACCTTTTAAGGTAAACACAAGAAACTTGTGCTACAGAAAATGGACCAGACTCAATGAATAGCTCCCTAAGCTTAACATCCTAAGTCCTATGATAACTATTAATTTAGCTATACAGACTAATGAGCAGCGATGACTAACATGTCTTTGGGGTCATCAGGTGGGAACCTCCTTTCACCAGTGTTTCGTCTAGTTAGTCCCACGACACCTCCAGGAGGCTAGACAGTGATCACTGGCGTCCCAGAGTCACTCCCCAAATGCCAGCCATCACTGCTCCTCACACCACAACTATTTTCTCCTTTATTTTGCCTATGCTACCACAAACAACACTATCATCAAATAGGACAAAACACACTAGCAGATTCAGCAAACAAAACTCCCCTAAACAGTTCTAATTTCATCGTCTGCTCCACCGAGCAGGATAAGCACTGTAGACAATGTATGGCTTAGATCAGTGGTTCTCAAACTTTTTCTGTCATTCCCCCCTTTGGAGGAAGAAAAATTTTCATCCCCGTTTCTTTATGGTTCCACCGTGAAAAACATCCAGACGTCCAAACATTAGTCCCCCCCCCTTTTCCCCCTGGGTGACTCGCGCCCCTCCCCACTTTGAGAATCGCTGGCTTAGATAGTGAATGGTTGAGCGGACAATTGTACGACGCGTTTGTATCGTTAATAAACCACATATTTGTCTCTGTTAAGAAGAATAAGGAAGTTTTAAAAAAGAGGGAACGAAAAGATTTTTTGCACCGACTTTACGTGTCTTGTCGGGCGAACAAAGCAAATGTGATGCTTCAGCATTATGCCACTGTTCATCTGAAGGAGGCGTGTCCTGTCTGGGAAAAGGGGCGTTAAACATTCTTTGTAGCTGACCTGCTGTTGTCTTCAGTTAGTCAGTCTGCACAGATTCTTACGGTAAGGCTAAAACTTCAGTCTCTGTGTGCCACTGTATTTAAAATTACCTGTGTATGCTCTCATCCACTGCTTTTTTTCCCCCACGTGGCAGTTTAGCTAAGTGCTGCAATATCGCCAGTTAGCTAACGACCAGAACGCGCGGTGTAGTTCACTTGTCCTAAATATTGTTCGGAATAGTCAGTTTCAACATCTTTGCCACAATGCCCTTTGTTTTTTGCAGGTCCTCTCCATCTAAAAATGGCCCAGTCAATTCTCGACACCATGCCCGGAGCCTCGACAGGAACCGTGGTCGTCACAGATCATCTGAATTTCTGGGGTGGCAAACGAGTCAAACCGAGGCAGGAGACAAACGCCGAGCCCGTGTTTGAACCTGCAACTGGTAAATACAGCTCATTGAAGTCTGGTTTAATATTTAATGCCTCTTATCATTAGTCTAATAATAATACTTGTGGAAAAATGTTAAGTCCGTGTAACGGTTACAGGTGTGTCTGTGCAGTGGACTCTCCATGAGGAAGTGCATATTCTGTTAATTATATAATTAAAACCCTTCCTTTTTTCGTCTTCTGTGGTAGGAGGAACTATCATAACTAAGTTGAATTGAATGTAATGGAAAAGGCAATCTGAACACTATCCCTGTTGCATTCATTAAGTTGATGTGATTTAATTTAAAAATGTCAACATTATTCTGACCTTGTTGTATTTTGTCTTGGAGCTCAGCCAGGCTGTAACCTGTTAATGTTTGGTTTCTGCAGGCCGTGTCTTGTGTCAGATGGTACCCTGTGGGGCTGAGGAGGTGGACGAGGCCATAAAGAGCGCACATGCTGCCCACCTGAAATGGAGCAAGATGGCAGGCATGGAGAGGGCTCGGGTGATGTTGGAGGCGGCCCGTATTATCAGGGTGAGATAGTCAGCATGTTATGTCATAGTGCGTGATTTCAGTGTGTTGCAGTGTGTGTTGTAAATTGGAGATGAATGTTGCAAGAATGCAGAAAGATAGTAGTTATTCATTAAAAGCATTAACTTCCCCCTCCTGCCACTGCTGACCTACATTTGCACTAAGTAAACCTTTCTGAGTCTTTGTCATCTCTTTGATCATCATCCAGACAATGATTGCAACCTCAGTTTACCACTGCCATTACATAATCTTAAAGCTAATGCACAAGCAATGACACAGAGTTATGCTTTAACACTTAGCTGTTATTCCAAAAAAATTAGGAAAGAAGGGAGAAGATTGCAAAACTGGAAGTGATCAACAATGGCAAATCCATCACAGAAGCACTTGTGGATATTGACATTGCATGGCAGTGCATTGAATACTATGCTGGCCTGGCTGGTACACTTGCAGGTGGGTGCACCAACATTTTTTTTTTCTTCTCCAAAATGTTTTAATACGTAAATGTTAGGTTGTGTTTTCATTGTGCAGGCCAGCACGTCCAGCTTCCTGGGGGATCATTTGCTTACACCAGGAGGGAGCCCCTTGGTGTGTGTGTAGGAATCGGTGCGTGGAACTACCCCTTCCAGATCGCATCATGGAAGTCTGCTCCTGCTCTGGCATGTGGTGAGTTTTTTTAGAGTGCGTTTGAGATCATTACTCCTGCCTGTTTATCCAGTAATCATGTGTTTCCTGTGTCTCTTAACCACAAACAGCTAAGTAGATTGTAACCTGCAATGTTAAATTTGGGTTGTGTTGTAAGGTAATGCCATGGTATTTAAGCCCTCTCCAATGACTCCTGTGACGGCTGTCATTCTGGCTGAGATATACAAAGAGGCTGGGATGCCTGATGGGCTCTTCTGTGTGGTGCAAGGTGGAGCAGAGACTGGCACCCTGCTCTGCCACCACCCAATGGTGGCCAAAGTCTCCTTCACTGGTAGTGTGCCAACAGGCAAAAAGGTACAGAAAAAGCGCTGTGATTTTAACAGTACATTGAAAACTGAATCAGACGGCCACATCTCCATTTATACTGAACTTAATTTAAATGACCATTTTATTTTAAGGACAATACTGGCGTGTCAGCATATTTTAACCAATTTACCTCAAATTATTTTCAGATTGCATAAAAACCGATTGATTTAGAAAAAATTTGATTATAGAATTAAGTTTTAACTACCTTCCATATAGTCCAAGTAGTATTTATTAATTTCACTATCGCATGGAAATTGCCCTAGACAGACTTGAAACCCATAACAGTGAACATCAAATCTGCTTTTCATTATTGCCAGAGTTCCATTACCTTTGTGTAGTAATGCAGATGTGAGTGTACCTTGATATGGAAAATTTACACTCAGTTACCATGTAACAATAATATAGCTTTCTTCACAGTTGATGCAGATATTGTGTTCATTGTAAATGATAGTTTGACAGTTTAATATTTTTATAATGTGGTGAAATTAATAGAAAGCGGTGGATGCCTTGAAAGTGGGGAGAGCCATTTTAAAGTCTACAGAATAATAAAGGAATAAGAAAAAAAGTGCTTGTTCTTTGTCATTACACCTAAAACATTTTATTCCTTGCGCTCAGGTCATGGAAATGTCTTCGAAGGGGGTGAAGCAGGTGACTCTGGAGCTTGGAGGGAAATCTCCCCTCATTATTTTCAAAGACTGTGAGCTGGAGAACGCAGTGAAAGGAGCACTCATGGCAAACTTCCTCACACAGGGACAGGTGAAACTGTTGCATCATTACATATGCATGATGTCAATCTCGACCTAATCCAACACATTCTCTGTCAGCTCTTACAACGTTCAAATTTCTGTCTAAAATATAGGTTTGTTGCAATGGCACCAGAGTGTTTGTACAAAGAGAGATCATGCCCAAGTTCCTGGAAGAAGTGGTGAAGAGGACAAAGGTCATCCCTGTGGGTGACCCTTTGTTGGATGGCACCCGAATGGGAGCACTGATCAGCAAACCACATCTGGAGAAAGTGCTGGGATTTGTCAATCAGGCCAAGAAAGAGGTGTGTTAATAATCTCTGATTAGATTAGAAGAAGCTGTAATGATCCCGGCGGGAAAAGGAAGCAGTTGTCGTGAGGCATTTATCTCAAAGTTAATCAGCTGTGATAGTGGCTCTAACGCTTTCACTTAACCACAAAACAATTCTATTAAGTTAAGTTGTTTCTTTTCATTTACTCTTACATTGTTTCACATAATTATTTAACTAATACATCTGCTCCTCCAGGGTGCCAAAGTGCTTTGTGGAGGAGAGCCTTTTGTCCCCAGTGACCCCAAACTAAAAGGGGGCTACTTCATGTCACCCTGTGTACTTGGTAAGCCTTTTTGTATATTCTCCAATCTCTTTTTGATTTTTCTTCCAACACTACTGTGCCTCTGCATGACGTTTTTGTGTTGTCTGTCCATATTTATAAGGTTGGTCTCAGTCCTGTAAACGTAAACGCCTTGAGAGAATTTCCTCAAATTTGGTTCACTTGGATTTAAGGATGAACTGATTTAGATTTTGGAGGTCAAAGGTCAAGGTCACTGTGTCCTTACAAAAGATGCTTTTGGCCATAACTCAATAATTCATACTGACATGACTTAATACGTGTCTAATAGGATAAAATGAAGTGATGACATTTTATATCCAAACTGTCAAAGGTCAACTTCACTGTGACATCATAATGCTCTGCAAAAACATTTCTGGCCATTATTCAGTGCTGTAACTGAGGAAAGAGAGATTGTGACCATATTTCCTGCAACTTGACTGGTTGGTGGAGGCATATAAAAGGCTGTAATTCTAGTAATGTCACATGGTCTGTGTCTGTTTTGTTTTTCTTCCATCTGCATATTTTGTGTCCCTATATGCACCATACATCACATCCATTACTCACCCCCGGCACAGATAACTGCAGAGATGACATGACCTGTGTGAAGGAGGAGATTTTTGGCCCGGTCATGTCTGTCATGCCTTTCGACACGGAGGAAGAAGTAATCAAGAGGGCCAACAACACCACCTTTGGATTGGCCTCTGGAGTCTTCACCAGGTCAGCTGAAGAGACACGGAGCACTTGAATTTGTGATTACTCAGCAGTCTGTTACAGCCTCTGACACACAGTGCTATTAGTTTGCTCTTGGAGTTAATGAGGTTATTGCATTCCTTTGGCTGCACTTCCAAGTTTCCACAGGAAACGGACACATTGTGCAATAATAGTCTCTGTGATTCGAGGGTAGATGAAGCAGCATTTAACTTCCTGATCACATTGCATGCAGACTATTGACTTTTTTTTCCTTTTTTTTGTGCTTAAAATCTGTATGCAGGGACATTTCTCGAGCCCATCGTGTGGCTGAGAACTTAGAGGCAGGAACCTGCTTCATCAACAACTACAACATCAGCCCTGTGGAAGTGCCATTTGGTGGATACAAAATGTCAGGTAGGGTGTTGTAAGGTTAAAATGGTCAGAACACTTTTACACTTTTGTCATTGTACATGCAAAGGAAATGCATGCATAGTTTTACGTTTTATTGCAGCAAGACACCTGAATTATCTTGAATGACATTGGGGTTAATCAATAAAAGAGACGGTGCTCACATGATCTCTACTGTGTTTTACCAGGCTTTGGCAGAGAGAACGGCCAGGTGACAATCGAGTACTATTCCCAGCTGAAGACTGTGGTTGTGGAAATGGGAGATGTTGAGAGCCTCTTCTAAACTCCTCCCACCAAGTTTGCATTGCTGTGCCAGAACTGTGTCTAAGAAACTACGCACTTCTCCCTACAATCATATGATATGCACCAGATACATGCATCCAGTACTCCTCTTTGCACTTCCTGTGATTGAATTACTCCTCTACGCTTGGAGAAACATGTTGATGTGAAACAAACATGTAAGAACTGAAGACCAATTTCAGCATTAGAAGAAAACAACTGTCTAACACAACTGATCAGGTTTTGTCCTGTATGCTTTACTGGAACACTATTTGACAACTACTTTGTATCAAAATAAAATATTTTAGATGCAAACTCTCTGTTCCTGGTTGCTTGTTGCTTCTGAAGAAAAGTCAGTGATGGGCAGGGAACACTGGATTAATTATTACCACTTCTTTCGTAACGACTAAAAAACACATTAGTACTATGGGTGTATGATATTGACATTTTTACACATATCCAGTAGCAGATCATCTCCATGCTCAGTTTTACAAGAACACAGACAAACACTTGACTTGACATTATTACTACATTATCACCACATATTGTATATCTATATTGTATCTGATGTTTGATTCAGATGTGCTATGCCTTGATCAGTATTGGGCAGGTATTGTTTAACAATTACTACCTGTCTGGTTTATTTTTTAATCCTCTACTGTTATTACCTGTACTGATTTATTACTATTAGATAATAAAGTAATGTAGATAGGTATACATTAGTTTTTCACATGCAGAAATTGTGTTTATACTTAACGTTTGTTAATTAGTATAACATTTTTAAACGTATTTTTGGAAATAAAAATACACTAGTATTGCTCATTCCAAAAATGATATATGTTTATTATATTAAAATATTATATGCTACTTTGGCCTTGTATTTCTGCAAGCTCTCACCGTTGTCAGCAAAAGATATACTACTACTGTTTTTTGGTTAGTTTTTTCACGTGCATATTTCTGCGTAGTGGAAAGACAGTGTTAAGAGTACTGTTCTTAACTATACAACACGTGCTTTTATTTTGACAACAATAAACCGGAAGTGTTTGTGCCTTGACTGATTGAGAGCATTTCATCGTTAGCTTGTAGTTCGACAATGCAGGTAATGCTATTTTAACGTCACTATTTTGTCAATGACACTATGTTATTTTATTTTATTATGTTATGAAACTGGTGTATTCTTCAGTGTTTTTACTCGGGTACGGTGTTTCTGGTTTACTCATTTATATATAAAGTTAGCAGTAGCTAGCTCGCTAAATTAGATGGCGTTAGCGTTTTAGCTAGGTTAACATAACAATGAGGCTAATTTTAATGTAAAGTCAAAGTACCGACGCTGTAGACGACCCACAGAGTATTGTGTGCAGTGTGTAGTTGATATATTTGGGTATGAAACTGAGCTTTTAGTTTTTTCTTTTCCACAGCAAAGAGAGGAGAAGCAGTTAGAAGCGTCGGTGGAGTCTCTCATTTCTCGGGTGGCTCACGTCAAAAACGCTCTTCACAGTTTCATTTATAAGCTGGAAAATGAATACGAGAGGTTAACATGGTGGGTAATGCATTTTTTTTTTAACGTTGGTAGACTTCTGTTTGTGCTTAAATGGAACTTTAAACTATATATACAAGTTTGCATCAGTTACTATTGACATGGTCAATACTGTTCCTATGGTTAAATCAGTAACCGCATCAAGACTAAAGTGCATTTTCATAAGTGAGTAAGTGTTGAGGCCCTGAGCATTTGTATTGAACATAAGTCATTCAAAATGAGCTGTAATTGAATGTCTCCATACCGTAGTCACAGTGCACGAAAAGCCGTAATTCACTTATTATGGAGCAGCTCTGGGATTTGTCTGTGGATAACATAAAATCTTCAGTGTGTCTCTCTGATCAAGACTGAATTGTGCTGTGCTACATACACAGTATCTGAATATTTGACAGATCTGTAATCGTTAGATTTATTGTTCATATATCATCTGCAAGAGGAAGTGTGGTGGAATATTATAAACTGCCTGCACTTTTTTAGGGAGGCTTTGTATTCTGCTGTTACGAAATGTCACATTAGTCTACTTAACTGTCTCATTTTCCAGGAAATATGTTACCATTAGCATTTCTTTGTCACTCAGCTTGCTTTACTTTAAGATGAACAAGTGAATATGTTTACAAATGCAACATTTGTTCTGTCATCTTTTGTTATCAGAATTTGTTAAGAGGTTCTTTGTGGAGTGTTTTTTCTTTTGGTCAAATGCTGTGATGTGTGTTTATGTCATTCAGGCCGTCTGTGTTGGACAACTTTGCTCTGCTATCTGGTCAGCTGAACACTATCAATAAGCTTCTCAAGAATGAGAAGACGCCATCCTTTCGCAACCAGGTTATAATACCTCTGCTTCTGTCACCGGACAGAGATGAAGATTTAGCAGTGAGTATCTTAAACACTGAAAGCCAGTTACGGGACTATTTATTAGAGGCCTGTGTTGGAGGCCTGTCTGTTTATCACTGCTGCTTGTTCTCCATCAGAAACTCACAGAGCAGCGTGTTCCAGTGTTCAGCCATGAGATTGTACCAGACTACCTGCGGACCAAGCCTGATCCAGAGGTGGAGGAACAGGAGAAACAGCTGAGTGCAGACGCTGCACGTATTGGCCCTGAGGTGGCACAGGTCAGTTGGGTATTGCACTACTTAAACATGATATGCTGTCTTACTCGTGAAGTAATTTTACTGTTTTTCTGCTGTATGAGTATTTTGCATTCTTAAACCCACCCAAGTAATATTTTTCACAACAGAAACAAATCCAGGCGTTGAACAAGCTGTGTTCCAATCTACTGGAGAAGCTGAACAATCCTCGTGATGACAGAGATGCGGAAAGTGCAAGTATGTTGCACTTTTACTGTATGGGTCCTTTGTTTTAAATTGTTGTGTAAATGCCCATATATTGACTTTTATGATTTTTTTTTTCCAGCAATGAGACAAAACAAATCCTCTTTCAACCCTGCGGACACTAATGCATTGGTTGGAGCGGTTGCGTTTGGAAAGGGGCTTTCCAAATGCAGGCCTCCAGGTCCAGTTGCTCCTGGACACCCAGGACAAGGGCCCATGATGAGCGGAGGTCCAACCTTACAGCAGGTCACCATTGGTGGTGGTGGCAGTCAGCAAGCAGGTATGGGTGGACCTGTGGCTCCACAGCAGCAAGGACAGCCAGGTAGGAGACCTGGAGAGCTGGGTTAGTATTCCATTTCACTACTTACTTCTTATTTTTGCACTGCATTACACGGCTTTTGTTGCAAATACTGTAGCAGCCAAAGCAAAGGAAATATTGTGCTTTGTAGCATGAAAAAATATGTGTGGTAGGACAAGGACACAGAATGCATACTATAATGTAACAATCCGGATTTGAAGAAATTAAGGAATGAGTTCATTTGTGTGCATCTCAACACTAAAGCACAGCTGCTATGGGTGATGAGAGTGTAAACGGTGGTGGTAGCAGATAAATCTGTAAAAACTCATACACAATATTCCTGCTCTTCAGCTCCCTGTAATTCATGTTTTGAATTTCTCCATTTTAAAATCCAAATTAGTTTGAGGTGTAATTTGTATTTAAAATAACTTCATCAGGTTAAACAATTAATCCTGTTATGATTATACAGTAGTTAATACTTTATCATACGTGACATAATTTAAACAATTATTGTTTGCTAAACTAAAGTAAATGGATCATTCTAACAAATAACACGTTATTCAGTCAGGATCAGAACAAATGTAAATGTGGCTCCCTGTATGTAGTGATGATGCTTATGGAAGTTGTCTGACTTGACCTCAGCTTTTGTGTCACTCTGTTCTGGGCAGCAATGCCTCTCAAACTAACCCCATATTTCAAGGGAGCTATTTACTAATTTGCACATCATATCAGAAATATTGTTGACATGTGCTGAGCTTTGTAGATTCCCGATGAGTTATGTAAATGTCAAACACAACCTCCTGTGTTTTCATAATGTACGATTATATTGACAAAACTTTGAACTGTACAACCCTTTTGTTTTACATTTCACTCATTTATTGCACCTTTTTAGCTTTTTGTTGCCAATACACAATTTTTAGTAGTTGATTTTGCTTCTTTTTACGTAAACAGTTTGTGACAGTAACCTGTATTCATGTGTGTTTAGTGATCTCTCCCTGTTTTTCTTTCTCAGGAAAAATGCCAAGTAGCATCAAGACAAACATCAAATCTGCATCTGGTTCAATGCATCCCTACAACCGATGAGCCCCTTCCTTCCCATTTCTTTAACCTGCATTTTTTACATTTAAGACCCTCCTCTGGCAATGAATATTTACAGTACATACATGTCACCTTTGTATGCTGTTCTTTTCATGGAATGCACCAACTTCTAAGAAGTTGTTACTCTGCTCTCTCTAAAGCTGTTTCTGTGACATACAGTTCGCTCTGAGAAATTTCTCAAAGGTAAAATTTTCCCCTTAGTGACTGTCATAGAGTCTATTTTATACCTCCATTATTTGATACTGAGCCACAGTGTTTGAGCCACTAGATGGCAGTATGTCATCATTTATTTGATCACAATGGCTTGTATTTGGAACTGTACTCATGACACTTTTTTAATAAAAGACGTGTTAAAAAGACTTCCAGCTTGTGTAATCAATACATTTCTATCCGTATTTAAATTATGTACTGTTAAGTCTGAACACAATTAGAATTCTGTTGGTCTGAGTATTTGAGTAAAGTAATTCTGTACAACTAAATTGTGTTAGTGGTTTCAGTAAAGTCGTCAAAACTGTAACCTTGTTGTAATCGAGCATCACCAGTGTCTTGCATCCCGAACATAGACAGAGCAGTTCCCATCAAATGACCATCACAGCATTTCAGACATGCACCATAATCTGACGTCTGTTCAGTATTTCTCCCAGTTTCTTCTCTTGCTTCTCTTTGCCCATTTTGCTGCAGTACCAAAGGTGAGAATAATGAGGGTGGACATTGCTCTGTGTGGCCTGATAATGTCAAAGTGTTTAAGGGGGGAAATGAGGAAGTATCGGTGCTGACGTGTGAGAGGGGCCTCTCTCCACGCCGGCTCTCTCTGTCCACTCCAATCCCTGTCCTGCTGCACAGCACAGTGACCATGCTGCTGTCACAGCGTGCAGGCCCATGGCTGACCTACATACACCCTCTGTCCCCAAACAGGCAGACGTCTCGCTGTGTCAGCCACTATGGTCAGACGCTCTGCTGAGACAGCTCAAAGCTGCACAAGGTCACGCTTGTGTCCACAGATGAGGTCTAAATTATAAACAAAGACCTAACAGGCAACATCCTGCAAACCTCAGAAAACAGAGGGTGTACTGAGGATTCAGACAAACTATCACCCAAAGTTAAAGGATGATGCATTTTTTACCTTTCAAGTACAAATAACACATAAGTGCACGCTAGAACTTAGATTTTCTAAATTCTTTGTTTTTTTTGTTTTTGCTTTACAGGCTTGGTTAAGAAAGGCTGCTCATCAGTGACTTTTGTCTTTATTTTCTATGTTGCATTTTCTCGGTGTAGCAATGAATTTGAAAAGAACAGCAATTCCACATAACAATAATGTAACAGACAGAAATTAAAGCAGACATGATGCTCACTTTGATTGGTGTCAAGCAGTCTCTTAATGTTAATTTTCACAGTGAATTAAAATGAATGGGAACTATGTGTCTGCCCAGGTAGGAAAAAACAAGCCAAAACAAATATGTAAACGTATACCATGTTGTATTCTTTGGATAACAGGCAGCAGAAGTGTGAAATGTGATTTGCAGTAAATGGCCTTAAATATGCAAAAGCACTAGTGCGTTGTTCAAAGAATTTTTATCTTTCACTAAGTGGGTCCACTGACATTGTTGTTTAATGACAATGTTACATATAGGATTGAAGATATTTATAGTAATCAAAACAATCTATTATAATTTAATTATATATAAATTGCTTCCTGGGTTGTAACCTACTGTAGATATAGTCTAAGGCACTTTACTGTTTTCTTTTCTGAAAACCTGGAACCGCAAAAGTGTAAATTCAGGCGTGACGTTCACATTCTCCTAAACCACAAGTGATGCTATATTGTAAACAATGCACTTGAGTACATTACATATATATGTGACACTAAGTTACCAAACCTGCTGATGAAGCCCACACGATGTGGCTGAAAGCTCCAAATAAAACCACACTGAAAAAAATGTGGAGTGTGATTTACTTAAAAAAAACCTCGGTAACAATTTCCACACAGAAATTCTTTGTAATTTTTACTCTGGAAATTCTAATAAGAAACACATAACATGAAATAACCTTTTTAACAGTACCTTTATTTTCCAACACTGGTGAAAGAGGTCACTGCTTACGGTATTCCAACATACTGACTCTGGCATTACCAGATACATTTCAAAACAGTGTTGCCAGTTAGAATTTAAGAACAACTTTCACTAAAAGCCATCAGTGTGTGGCTGTTTATTGTGTGCTCTGACACATTTTTAAATGGAATATTTGACCTCTGCTGCTGTGTATGTCAGAGAGCCTTGACAAGAACATTTACAAAGAAAATGTCCAATGAAATGCCTAAAGGTATCACTTTAAAGTGACACAACTGCAAGTACCATAAAGTGCAAAAACTACTTCAAACCTTCTTAGGTGGCCGCCAAGATGCTCAAAATATTGCCTCTCTGAATTAAAAAAAACCAGAGCAGCATAGTTGACAACTAAATGAAAGGACTTCCCTTTGTGTCACCAACTCCACATGCTGCCGGGTCAAATGGGTCGGAAGGGCATTAAATGTTTTGAATGAACAAGGGCAATCAGTGTGAAGACAAGGGATTGACTGGCTGTGGCCACCATTTCCATGTTTTAGCCTGTAGTGTTTTAACAATTCTATCCTTTTGTCTGGTTTGAAGCTACATATTTTACACACCCATCTCATGTTGTTGCACCTGGAAAATAATAAACACATACACAAATATCTCAAAACTAAATTTCGATGTCAAGTTAACCTATAACAGTACTAATTTGATCTTACCTTGAGTAAGCTGTCAAGGCCAATGTCCAGAGTCAATGTCCTTTATTCTGTGAAATATATAGACAAGTAAAATTAATATACATTATATGTACAAAAGTATTCAGACATCTTTGCAGTTTAGAATTGGAGTAGAATTTAGAAGCTGTGATTCCATATGGCCTTGCATTACATCAATGTTAAAAGTTGACTGGAAATTTTAAAGTATGTAATCATGTGTTATTGTAAGACATTTATTGAACATATTTAAACACCATCTATAGCAGTCTTATAAAAAGGCACACTCTTGATATGCTGTTTTAAAATTATTCATTCACAATCTGTATTTTAAATAACACATGAAATTATTTACCTTTATAAAGGCACTACTTATATATTTTTTAACAGCTTTCCAATTAGTATTTATCTTTTTAGCCCCCCTTTTTAATTGTAATATACCTTATTCCTCTTTTAAACATACTTATTTTAATATATTTCCCTTTCAAAACATTTAAATGAACTGTCTTGCCATTACTGTTTTAAATCATCATGTGAGTTTTAATGAACAAAATTAAATAAATCAGACTGTATTTGTATCACAATAATTTATGAGTGAATACTCTTATAACACACTGACCCTTAAGTCAACTGTGCCATCACTGCTTCACTAACAAACTGCATTTAATGTTACTGCAGTGATAGCAACTTAGCTTGGCTAGCCTCAATGTTAGACAATGCCTGGGTTAGCATAGCGGCTAGCGCCGTTTGCGATTAGCGTTAGCTTCGCGGCTAACACCCTTAACAATCTTTTTAACATTTTAAACCAATTACAGTGATACAGTCTCTACCACAGCCGTGTTAAAAGCTAAATAACTCCTACTGGTTTTAAGAGAAGTATCTGAACAAAGCAGGCATTTTGTTGTCAGTTCACCCAACAGGCTAATATCAACAAGCAAAATGGTGCCTCCATTCTGTGTAAACGTTAACATTACCGGACCTCAAAACACAACAGGAACGCCCTACGTTTGACGAAAGTGGCACCTCACGTTCAGTGTAACACACGCACTGGACAGTTGTCACACTGTAGCCATGTTTACCTGTGCTCAGAAGCCTGTCTGTGTCCGCTGACCTCAGAAAAAGTACATTGTGACTCAAGTCCAAAGCGGTCCGCGGACGCGGGAAGAGCGGAGGATCCCTTAGCTAGCTAGCTAGCAGGCTAAAATATTCAAACACTGATGAGCCAACATAAAAATAAAAAGTTAATTAATCATATACATACCCCAAGGGTCCACGTTCATCACTTGTCTCATCAAATGGGCACCCAAACAATCCCCCAGTCGAGGTGTGTTGTCCAGGAACCCTGTTCTTGCTGCTGCCTCAGAAGTCAAAAGTACATGCACTCTGACCTCACCTGCTGAGCATGCGCAATATTGCAAGCTGACCTCCAAGTAAATTTTACTTGCTTATGTCAGGTTGTACAGTCAATACAGTTGTTAAGTTAACATTACTTGGAGTGATGGGTAATATTTACTTATCAAAATGAGGATACATAATTACAAACAAACATCAAGTAACACATTAAATAAAAGGTGACATTTTAAAGTAAAAGCACTGAAATAATATTTCCTTGTAAAATTTAAACAAATAATCAAGGTTATAATTACAAGACCAAAAAATCATTTTTTTCAGTGCAGCCAAACTGAACCTTGTGTTTTGTTTTGTTGAACAGTTTATTACTTCTACTTTATTTTATTTGATCTCATGTTTAGTAACTTGTTGAGGCTATGTAGCACATTTTTATCATTGAAATGTGTTTAGTATTAAATTCTCACATGAAAACAAAAAACTGTGCTACTATGGATCTAGTTATTATAAACCAAAAATAGTTTATGAATATACATTTAAATCACAGACTATGTCTAGTTGTGCCATGTTCCTGTCAATAGTAGCCTAATCCTCTTGACTGGAAATATGTTAGCTGGAAGTTGCTGGATGTGCTCTGTATGTTCTTTTTGCGTTCTGTTGAATTTCCAAGCTCCCACAATAAATATTCATGACATGTTCATAAATAATTTTCTGAACATCCATTCTGGTAAAAACTGTAAGAGCAGAGTAGATGCAGGCAGTGATTTAAATCACACTCCCCGGGGAGGCACATGTAGTAATGTCACACTATCACTGCCTTGACACCAGAGTCGTAGCATCATCTGAACCGTCTGACAGTTGTGTATTCTCTGGTTTATGCAATTAGAATATTAATTTACTCCTCATCATAAAACTAGCATGTTGCAGCTGGATCCCAATACCTTCCATTCATGCTGCCCTGCAAAGCTAAAACATGAAACAGTAAATAATGTATATTATATTTAATCAAAAACAAATTGAGTTAAGACCTAAATAGGATCTGACTTTTGACATGACATTAACAAATATTAACAAATATGTACCACAAAAAACAACAAAGCAACAAACATTCAAATCAAATATTCAAAGTAAAAAAGTACATTTAGTGCAGTAACTACACTCCGGCTAGTGAGGCTAGCCGGTGAGATAGCATTAGCTGAATAATTTAGCCACTTCTTCCTGTTACATAGAACTTAAAAAAAGAAAAGAAAA